TGAGGGGCGGCGGGAAGGGAGGTGGGGGAGGCAGGGAAGAGACTGATCTCATCAGGCAGGTCCTGGTGACAATACGCTTTTGTCCTCTGTACAACCTGGGCCTGCCCAGCGGGCCCACAGGCCCTGAGAAAGAAGTGGCGGGAGGGAAAGGATGCCCGCCAGGAGGCAACAGACGCATCCTTAACGACGAGACAAGGCTTCCGACATCCTCTCCTACACTTCCTCCCGCTGCAGGCACGCCGGGGAGCCTGGCAGGACGCTCCTCTCCTAGAGCAGGCGGTTCTCCTAGGCATCGGAGAGCTGTTTCTTTAGTAAGGTGACCAGACATCCGGCTTTTCGGCGATTTTTAACAATCTGTCCCGTGTCCCCACGGCCTTTTAAAAAAGTCCCAATGAAAAGGCCGTGGGATGCGGGACAGATTGTTAAAAATCGGGACTGTCCCGCCAAAGGTGGGACATCTGGTCAGCTTATTCTTCGGGGATCTTTTCCACCACGGCACCCAAAACCACGCCGGGCTCTTAGTGACGTGTGTGAAGCATCGTGTTTCAATCTGCCTAATGTTTCTACGGGGTCAGAGTGAGACTAGAAAACTTACTGCCCGAGGAACAACGTGCTGCTCCTCAGATTCTTCGTCTCACCCTCTTGAAGCCTGGTGGACAGAGGTCCCCTGCTCAAGTGTATGCCACAGCTCGAAAGGGGATAATGATGTCGAGTCTTGTCCTGGAGGAAAGCTAACCCGTGCTCTGGCTCTGAAGGAGCCGTGAGCCCGTGCCGGGAACCTGGGTTCCATCCCTGTGCTGACGCTCACGCACTGGTGGGCGCAGAGGAAATGGCCTGCTCCCTCCGGGCCTCAAGGTGCCCACCTGCAAAATGGGCATGAGGACGAGGAGCCACTCTGCACCTGGCAGGTCAGCAGAGCAGGGAGCCATGCACGCTGGCCCTCTGCACCTGCAGGCTCCCAGGTGCAAACTGTTTCCGACCTGCAGTCAGTGGCATTCGCGGATGAGGAACCCGGGGAGGCAGAGGGCCCGCTGAGTATCCCCTGGAAAAGCCTGCTGTACGTGGACCTGCGCAGTTCAGACCCGTGTTGTTCGGGGGCCGACTCCGCTTTCAAGCTCTGACGGGGAGGGAAAGCTACCGATCCTCACCTCCTTTACCGTGGAACTGCCGGCTCAGAAAGCCAGCCATTTGTTTAAAACCTAAAAAGTAACGGCTACATCTGAGGTTTTCTTTTAGAGTCTAAAACGTTTTCAAAGGAATTCCTCAGAGCTGGGGGAGGGAGTTTACATACGCCGTGGTCTAAACTGGCTTTAAACTTCCCAGCGTCTTCCAGCAAAGATGTAAAGAGCTCTCCTTTTCCTTAAACATCATTTTCATTTAAAAAAAATATATATATATATTTGATTTTTTACAGAGAGAAAGGGAGAGGGATAGAGAGCTAGAAACATCAATGAGAGAGAAACATCGACCAGCTGCCTCCCGCACACCCCCCACCAGGGATGTGCCCGCAACCAAGGTACATGCCCTTGACCGGAATCGAACCCGGGACCTTTCAGTCTGCAGACCGACGCTCTACCCACTGAGCCTAACTGGTTTTGGCTTAAACATCATTCTTCAGATCAAAAGCGAGCCCAGGTAGGAAGCAGTGCAAAGATGTCTGTACACCTCTGCTCACGGCCAAAGCCACGCAGAGAGGGAAGGACGCTGACACGCGTCCACAGGTCCGGTCTGAGGAGCCACTCTCAGTCTTGGCCCCTCAGTGATGCCGTTTACGGACTGCTTCTGTGCTGAGGGCCACGCTAGCACTGTGTGTGTGTGTGTGTGTGTGTGTGTGTGTGTGTGTGTGTGTGAGAGTGTGTGTGTGTGTGTGTGTGAGTGTGTGTGTGTGTGTGTGTGTGAGTGTGTGTGTGTGTGAGTGTGTGTGTGTGTGTGAGTGTGTGTGTGAGTGTGTGTGAGTGTGTGTGTGTGTGTGTGTGTGTGAGTGTGTGTGTGTGTGAGTGTGTGTGTGTGTGTGAGTGTGTGTGTGTGTGAGAGTGTGTGTGTGTGTGTGTGTGTGAGTGTGTGAGTGTGTGTGTGTGTGAGTGTGTGTGTGTGTGTGAGTGTGTGTGTGAGTGTGTGTGTGTGTGTGTGTGTGTGTGAGTGTAAAAGACAGCATATAAACTTGGACAGAATCTACATTTAAAAAGAAAACATGAAAGGAGGTAACCTCTAGCCATTTGTTCACCAAGTTCGAGTCGGCTGCTTAGCTCTCCTTCGCCTGGCTGGCCTAGACAGAACACGCAGACAGCCTAGTCTCAAGGTCAACATGTTCCATATGCAAAGTCCTCATTCCTACCCTTCCACCCGCTGACTGTCCACAATGGCCACCTGTCCCCCTCCACACTGCCCACCACACCCCTTTCTCCTTTCACCCAGAAGTATTAGCTTCCTGCCCGCTGTGTGTCAGGCGCAGGACCGGGCCAGTGGCCCCACGCAGGGGGCTTATCGACTACCTGAAGAGATACAGTTAGACAGATAACTGAAATAATGAATGACTTACCTCTTACATGTGATGCTTCTATCTGGCCAAGATGATCTGGCTTCTTGTGCATTTTTTTTTCCTTGACTATTTTTTGCTTCCATCCCTCCATTTGGCCCTCAGGCCCACACACATCTATTTCTATGATTTCCCCTCTGGGTATCTGTACCTGCTTCCTCTCCCAGTCAGTCCCCTTCAAGCTCCTCTTAGAACCACTTTCCTAAAGCATTGCATCTTCTTCTCAGAAACACACAGAGTAACTACTGCCTCCCGCGGTAAACCCAAACCTCTCTGCCCTGTTCCCTCAATGCCAAATCAGCTGGGTTTCCCAGATGCCCCCCTCTGTCTGGCCGCTTGGCTCGCTGTCTCAGATTGAAATCCTCTGTCACTGATGTGTTTCCAGCCGTGCGGTTCTGGACTGGGATGCCTTTCCTTTCATTGTTCCAAATTCTGCAAATTCCAGGCCAAACCCCACCATGCTATTCCAAACCAGCGTCGCCCTCACCTTCAGCTTTTCCATGAGAGTGCTGATTTTGCTGACACAATAGAAATGAATTTACAAAGGACACCCAGTTGGTTTAGGGCAGTGATTTTCAATCTTTTTTTTTTTTTTTTTTTTTTAACTCATGGCACACATAAACGAATTACTAAAATTCTGCAGCACACTAAACTATGTCTTCTTCTTGCAAGTCTGACCAAACATAGGTATAGTTTTGATTCATTCACACACCGGATAGCTATTGTGTTGGTTGTTGTCATTTTTTTTTTTTTATTTGCCAATCTAAGGGAAAAGAGGTCAGTGCTCCAGACCAAATAGTCAGGCACTGCATGTCTTTCCCCCACTTAATCCTCACTTGAGGATATGATTTAAAGAGGGAGAGGAAGGAAGGAAAGGATGAATGGAGGGAGGGAGAGAGGGAGAAAAGAAGAGAAGGAAGAAAGGGAGAGGGAGAAAGGGAGAGGGAGAGAGGGAGGGAGAGGGAGGGAGGGAGAGAGAGGAAAGGAGGAAGAAAGGGAGAGAAGGAGTAGGGGGAAGGGAGAGAGGGAGAGGGAGGGAGATGTGAGAGAGAAACATCGATCGGTTGCCTCCCATAGGTACGTGCTCTGCCGGGGAACCGGCGGCAGTGCCAGCGTGTGTGTTCAGAATCCTCGCGGCACACCAGCTGAAAACTGCTGGGTCAGGGTGATGACTCTGGGGCACCAACTCTCAAAACGGAGAGCTGCACACGTAGCGGACCCTTTCCGACTAATACGCGCATGGTTAGGAGTAAATGCGTTAGGCTGTGTGGGCCATAGGGTGTTGCAACTGCTCAGCTACCCTGATGTAGTGCAGCCAAAGATCAAACGTGCACAGCCAAGCATGGCTGCCCTGACACTGTTTGCAGGAAGGGGCCGCAGGTGACATTTGGCTTCTGGGCCACAGTCTGTTGGCCCTGTTGAGGAAGAAGAGTGGACCGTGGTGAGGGTTCCCTTCTGGATGGCAAAGCACAACAGGAAGTGCCCCTGAGATCAGCCCTTCCCTCCCCTGGCAGCTCCAGGGCTCCCCTGAGCCAGTGCGCCTCGCCTCGGAGAAGATTCCCAGCCCAGGAGTCATCGCCATGGGAACTGGGCGATGGCCATCTGTTTACAGCTGTTTTGGCCAACGAAGAGGAAGAGCTATCGGAATCTACTGCTTCGAGATCCAGGGAGGTGAGGGCCACCTGTCTCATTCTCCAGGCATCCTCCAGATTGGCAAGAGGCTTACCGGTCAGGAACACCGGACCTAAGGGCAAATCCTCACCCATTTGTCTCCGTGCTGGCACTGCTCTCTCTTTTAACCCTTACAACCACCCTCGTCCTTGTAAGTGCTTTATCCGCCTATTTGTTTCTCATGTGAAGAAATCCATGAGGTTCCCGGCCACTGTTGACCTGAATCACAACAGAAATGGTCTTGTGCTTGGCAAGGTGTGTTTGGAGAAGAAGACGCCCCCCCGCCAAGATTTCGTATTCCGATTTGGAAGGGATGAAGTAATGAGAGTACCGCACTGCTTCTAGTCCTTACAATGACCCTCCAAAGAGCACATATATTTCCCTACACCCATGGTAAACGGGGCTCACTGAGGTGAAGTAGTTTATGCAGCTTTGCCCACTTGGAAAGGTCAGAGCGAAAGTTCAGTCCAAGGGTAATGTCTGGCCCCATAAACCTCTGACCAGCCCTTCGAGCCCCGGACCTAACAGACCAAGTTCAATGTGTTTCAAAAGCCCCCAAATGCCTGCTCTGTGCACGTGAGGAGCTCTGTCACCTTTGTGGGCTCCAGTGTCCCCGAGGAGAAGCTCAGAGAAGCGGACAGGCCAGCCAGCCCTGAGGCGAGGGGACTGGACCCAGGCACGAAGCAGACGCAGCGTCGCCCGGGTCGGGCACCTCCTGATCCAAACCCGCAAGTGGCCGGCTACGGCACCGATTCACACGCCCCGGGGGGGGCGGAGGGGGGCGGGCTCTTACCAGCCGGTCATGTTGAAGTCCCGGTAGAGCATCTTCTTCCCCAGCTCCTTCCTCTGCACTCTCCTCGGGAACTCCAAATGCGTGAACTCGTTTCCCAGCAAGTGAGGCTGCATGAAGGCCTAACAGCGACAAGAGAGGAAACAGACACACACACAGATTTAGAAGAAAAAATACGACTCCAGGATGCTTTGCAAATCGAGACAGGCTATCCATATTCCACACACACACAACATCGTCCCCGTATTTTAAGGAAAATAGATTTAAGGATCCCAATGCAAATAGAAATCACCCACTTAACTTATTAAGGGATGTAACTTTTTCATTGGATGCAGAAAATTAAATATAAGCCAAGACCTGTATGGATTGCCAACGCTGTCAGGAAGAGAGACCGTTTCTCCCAAGGTTCGCTTTTTAATTCAAATCACCTGCTGGTATGCTGGTGAGGCAAGAAAGCCCCCCTCTGTTTCCACCCAGGCTTTCTCTACTGTCCCCTCCCCATGGCCTGGCCTTGGAGTCTCCAGGTCAGCACGATGGCCAGAGCCAGAGCGAGCGGGCTGGGCGCCCCAGACAGTGCTTTAAAAATATATATTTTATTGATTTTTTACAGAGAGGAAGGGAGAGGGATAGAGAGCTAGAAACGTCGATGAGAGAGAAACATTGACCAGCTGCCTCCCGCACATCCCCCACCATGGATATGCCCGAAACCAAGGTATATGCCCTTGACCGGAATCGAACCTGGGACCTTTCAGTCCGCAGACTGATGCTCTATCGCTGAGCCGAACCGGTTTCGGCCCAGACAGCGCTTTCTGCTGGACGCCCGCCCTCCTTCCGACTCTCAGTGATGTGGCCGTGTAATTGGAAGCCGGTTCCAGAGCAGATGGCTTCCTCCCCTCCCCTAGGTCCCTGTTCACACTACGAACGTATTGAGCAAACAGCTACTTGGGGAATGGCTTTGAAGCAACAAACAGTCTCATGGTCACGTTCAAAATTCCGATCCCGCTCTCCAAAACACGGGACGCTCCCGTGCGAACTCCTGCTCAGCGGCCACGCACCGTGCGTGAGCCCGGGAGCAGCATGGTGGCGCAGAGCAGATCACGGCCTGGCCCTGCAGGAAAGCCAGGGACCCCTGCAGCAGGCCAGGTGGCCCGTCCTCAGCCCTCTGGAAACAGGCCCTCCCACATCTTTCCCAGGACCTGACCCCGCGGATCTCCCGCTGATGCTCACGGTGGTTTTGGGGGTGTTCCTGGGGGTGTCCGTCACCAGTGCATCAGGAATAAAAGGGGGCCAGCTGACTGTCACCGGGCTGGTCGGATCTGGCCAGAAAACAGAACTGAAGCCAGTGATTCTGAGCAAGATTGGGTACGTGACAGGCAGGCCCGGTCTCAGGGTGGAGAGGGGGACCTCACGCTGAAGCCCCCCAGGTCTGACGGGAATGCTAGGTCCCCTCTGAGGGGCTCTGAAACCTTGGCTTGGCAAGGACACTTAACACTGAGTTTCAGAGAAGTTCCCTGAGAGGGAGAGGAGGCGGGGGGAGGGAGGAAAAGGGGAGGAGGGAGGGAAGGAAGGGTCTAATATTTATTTAATAGGGCAGGTCAATGGCCTGGGCTTTTGGGGAAATGAACTTGGGTTTGAACATAAGCTCTGCACTTATCACTTGTAAGCTGTATGATTTTAGGAGGTTAACATCACAGGCCTCGGTTTTTTAAATCTGTACAATGAGGTTAGTTATGTATTTATCTCACACTGCTTTAGTGATGAGATGATGTCTATAATGCACTTACCATAGTTGTCTCCGTTCCTAAAAGAAAGCAATCATATCCACTTAATAACTACTGGGCCCCCTAACATCCGGAGTCCCATGCTAACTGCTTTGTGAGTTCTCACTTCACCCTCCCAGTCACCTTACTGGCTAATAATCCGCGGGGCCCGGCGCAAAATGAAAACAGGGAGTCCCTGTGCAAAAATCAGGAATTCAAGAGCGTGACAGCGGAGCCGGAAGCCGAGCCCAGGGCCCGTGCAGCTGCAGGCCACATGGCCGAGAAGCCAGCTGTGGGCACAGGCCAGAGGCGGCTCTTCCTCCTCTATTTTGGTCCACCCACGGCAATCAGGGGACAGAGGCGTAAAAAGCCAACGAGGAGCCCCACCTCTGGGCACCCTGGCTCACCTCCCAGAACACGGGCCTGTGTTGGCACGGAGTTCTCTCGCACCCCCTACCCCCTACCTCCCCTGCTGGACCAGACACTTGCTGGGCTTTGTGTCACCACCCCAGCCGTCCTAAAGGTTCTCCCACAGACTCAGTGGGGCCCCGAGGTCCAGAGGAGGCAAAGACACGTAGCCTGGGCTCTTAGCCAGGCCTGTGTGGCTCTAGAGCCTGTGCTTCCTGTGGCCCCCAGACCCGCACCCTAACCCTTCTGCTGGCCCTTTCATCTTCCCCCACACACCCCCACAAAAACCGGTGCGGGGACAACCCAAGGCCTGCGGTCCTGGGGCTCCCCGACCACACACAGCATCACAGAGAGGCCCCTGTGAGGACCCACCTCAGCCACCGGGCAGCTCTGCACGCAGCCCGGCCACAGAGAGGCCCTGACTTTCCGCTACAACAAGGCCACCTGAAGGAATGCACCCGCGTGATCAAAGAAGCCAGTGCAGATCCGCAGAGAGGAACCCTGCGCTGTCTTCTACGACGATGCCAGAGACGGCGTGATGGCACAGGATCAAGCAATGTGTGATGTGAGTGTGAGAGCTGATGTCATATACGCACAGATCCCTGTGTGAGACACAGATGTATACAGCTGTGCCTCCGTACCCACAGATGCCGACTGTACACATTGTTCTACGCCGTTCTCTATGGGGCCTGAGCATACGTGGCGGTCCCTGGAACCAACCCCTCGCAGACGCCGGGACGACTATACATAAATGAACATGTGTGTGTGTGTGAATATAGACACACGATACATGGATGGTATATGATCAGCAAACACATTCGATACAAAGGCCATTCCCAAGTCCATTTCCTCACCAATCCTGGTGACTAACAGGAGCGAGTGTACAGAGTTCCAGGCATCTTGTCTCTCAGTCGCAGTGCGAGTGGGCGCTCTGTAAGCAGGTACCCTCCCGCCTCCCGCCTCCCTCCTCCCTCCTCCCGCCTCCCGCCTCCCGCCTCCCACCCGCATACATGGGCACGGCCAGTTGGGCGGGGAGATCCGCCAGGCGGCCGATGCCCGTGGGTAGCTGGGACTCTTCGGCAGCTCTGCCGTCTGCAGGGGCCACCTCACCCCTGCCTCCGAGGTGCAAAGGGGCCTCAAACGGAACGCTGACATCTGCAGCCCCTTCCCACGCAGAGCCTGTGGGGTCTCAGCAGCCGCCTGCGTCTCCCGCGATAACCACGGCAGCTCTAGCGCGTCCACACCGAAGCCCTTGTTTTATTTCCTCTAAGGCGAAAGGCTGCCAGTTACACTGTGCACGCTGCTTCCTTACTACTTCCAGTTTTTATTTTATTCTTTCTGAAAGAGCTCCTCTCGACTCCGACGAGCCTCTATTATTTGCCACGGCCGTGTGTGTTTGAAAAGGAATATGCAAGTGCCGTGTATGGGCTGAGGTCTTCCAGACCTTTTCCACTTCGAGAATCCAACAGGTGACTCACTCACGTCCACACTTTTCCACACAATGGTGGCGTGGGTTCCTCGGGCGCGCCGGTGAGGCAGCGTTTCTTGAAGAGCCCGCAGAAGGAAGACAAGCCTCCGGCCTGGGGCGCGGGGTTCTGAGGCCGCTCTGCAGTGAGCTGGAGTCGGCTTACTTCCGCCCCGGCTTCAGGAATGCAGCTGAGCAAGTCGCAGCGCTGCCTCCCAGCCCTGCCCGTGCACAGCTAGCTGGATATCCAAAGCTTCAAAGATGCCTCGCCTTTGTCTGCAGGGCTTTCTTCTGTCCCCGCAGGTCTGGGCTGCTCTTTTGCTGTCTGCACATGCCCAGGGGGTGACGCCCAGGTCATGCCTGCCATCTGCCTGACAGCAGCAATCCAGCAGAACACGCCCCAGCGTCAGACGTGTCAGAAAGGGAAGAGAGGGCATCTCAGCTCTGAGGATCCTGTGATATTCAGCTCCCACGGGTACCGATGCCACCCCCTTAGATCTCTCTATCGGTACGGGTATTTTTCTTCCTGTCTTGCTAACTGCCACAGCGTATCTCACCTGGTGCGTGATACAGTTCCCGTCACAGCCATGGCCTGCCAGAGAATCTGTGTATTCCGTGGGTTCCTCTGACATATTTTTACGGTGTGTGTGTGTGTGTGTGTGTGTTTTAAATATCACCGTCCACATCCTAATTATAGACCTCCTTTTTACCAGCACTTTATATACTCATGACTGTTGCATTTGTCGGATATGATGGAGTTACTGGTGTCAAAGACAACAACAACTCCAGAGCTTAGTCCAAGCAGAGAAAACAGGTGGCTGATGAACGAAAAGAGACGCTAAAATACAATGGGACATGCATGCGGGTTTGCAGAGGGAAGTGCACTTCTGCTGATTCATGCATCGCCATACTTGAGAGAGTTTACACATACTGTTTTCCTCGTAAGCTTAGCTGTTACATCAAAATAGTGGCAGGTTTAAACAATAAAACCCTATCTCTCACAGTTCTGGAAGCTGGGAAGTCCAAGATCGAGGTGCCAGCAGATTGGCGGCCCGATGAGGGCTCTCTTCCTTGTTTGCAGATGGCAGCCTTCTCCCTGCATGCTCACAGCCCCCCCCCCCCCCCCCCCCGTGCCCTCCTGGGGAGAGAGTCCAGCACTCTGGGTCTCCCTTTGTTAGGATGCTAACCCTCTCCGATCAGGATCCCACTCTTGTGACCTCACTTAACCTCCTTATTTCTGTAAAGGCCCATCTCCAAGTTCAGCACACCGGGGGGTAGGGCTTCCACACGCGTATAGGGCTGATATATGTACACAAACTCATCAGGATATCATAGCATGCTAGAACAGCTTTCTATTGAACTTACTCATATTCACAAATATTTCTACCATTGGACATAGATTACTTTTGTTTAAAAAAACCACACACACTAAAAAAAAAAAATTTTTTTTTTTGAGAACCGGGGTTTTTAACTTGGTTTTAGAAAATGG